AGGAAACAGTAAACACAGACCATGATTTAGGAGCGTTTTTGAAAGATGTCTACTTTCTCCAAAGGATAAGAATAGCATGTATAAAGTTAAAAGAGAAGTCACATTCCCATATAATAACAAACTAGGATTTATGTTAATAATGCTTCACTGAACTAGGCAATCTCAAAAATGAACATTCCTGCATACCAACTGATTCCTTGTTTGTTTTCTTGCTTCCTTTTCTGCCAGATCCCAGCTAATATCCCAAAAGGACCAGCTGACATGGTCCACACTTTCTTACATCTCCTAAGAATTGTTGTCCATATCATCATCATAGCAGTTATATTGCTACTTTAATACAAACATACCAGTAATCAACTGGCATCTACTGAACATCTTGTGTCAAGCCCTTCTTGAATAAATCATCATACAATTCCATCTCTGGCCAAAATGAACAATCAGTTACTCTGTGGAATCTCATATTTTAATACGGCTATAGCAGAGTGACTATTCTGTAGGTAACTTTCATTTTTAAAGGAGCCCATTGCTTTTTTCACATCATCAGTGCTATAGAAGACAGTGGCATCACTAGGCAGATGTAGTAAGTGCAGACCACACCAGGTGACAATATCACAGTGGTTGGTCTCTTCTCCTCCCTCCCCAAGACCTGGTGGCAATGCGTCCTCATCACCCTTCCCAGCTCTCCTCTTCTCTTGTATTGCAAGGCATCTGAGATGTCGTAGTTGATGCTCTCTCCTTGCTGCCCAAGATATGAGTGTTAAGAAGGAAGGAAGTGGGTGTGGGGTGAATAGATATGTTTAGGTGTACCTTATGTTCAGTGTTTCAGCAGGAATACATGATTTTTGTCCCACACCACCTACTCGGATGGAGGGGAGTCTACAGATTAAAGCACTGTGTGACACCAAATCTAGGACTAGCATGAAACATAAAGATCCATGGTCCTCAACCTGTGGGTCCCTAGGTGTTTTGGCCTACAACTCCCAGAAATCCCAACCAGTTTACCAGCTATTAGGATTTCTGGGAGTTGAAGGTCAAAACATCTGGGGACCCACAGGTTGAGAACCACTGAGATCCACCTGTAAATATTACTATATGTTTCAAGTAATTATTTTGAATTTCTATTTCTTTTTGTTTTCAGATTAAGTAGCAATATATTTGTATGCCAATCCCTAAAAGCATAGTGTGAAGGTCATGAGTACACATCTAATACAGTTATACCAGCTATGGTCAGAAAGCTAGGATTGGTCTTTTCATCTAATCGACTGTATATACTGTATATGTGAACATCCTGCGGCTCCTCCATGATGACATCAGTCTTGGACAGCAATGGCTCCCAAAGAGAGCTATTTAAGGTGGAATCAGATGTCAAACAGGGATGTGTTATTGCCCCAACCTTATTTTCCATCTTCATTGCTATGATACTCCATCTTGTTGATGAGAAGCTTCCCACTGGAGTGGAAATCATCTATCGGACAAATGGCAAGCTATTTAACCTCAGCAGACTGAAAGCCAAAACCAAGGTCACAACAACATCTGCTATAGAACTCCAATATGCTGATGACAACGTTGTCTGTGCACATTCAAAAGAAGACCTACAAGCCACTCTAAACACCTTTGCAAAAGCATATGAGAAGCTCAGCCTCTCATTGAACATTGAGAAAACCAAAGTGCTCTTCCAGCCAATTTCTCTCCAATGCCAGAAATACAACTTAAAGTGTAACACTAGAAAATGTTGACCATTTCTGCTACCTTGGCAGCCACCTCTCCACAAAAGTCAACACTGACTGAGCTCTGCAAGTGCAGCATTCTTCCGAATGAAGCAGAGAGTGTTTGAGGACTGGGACATCCATAGGGATATCAAGATGCTTGTTTATAAAGCCATTGTCCTCCCAATCCTGCTATATGCCTGTGAAATGTGGACTGTCTACAGACGTCATACACAACTCCAGGAACAGTTCAATCAGCGCTGCCTCCAAAAAATCCTGCAAATCTCTTGGGAAGACATGTGGATGTCAGGGTGCTGAAAGAAGCAAAGACGACCAGCATTGAAGCGACACTTATCTGTCATCAACTCCACTGGCCTGGCCACGTTGTCCGAATGCCCAATCACTGTCTCCCAAAGCAGTTACTCTACTCCGAACTCAAGAATGGAAAATGGAATGTTGGTACACAGGAAAAGAGATTTAAAGATAGGCTAAAAGCCAACCACAAAACTGTGGCATAAACACCGAGAACTGGGAAACCCTGGCCCTTGAGCGATCTAATTGGAGGTCAGCCGCAGAATTTGAAGAGCCATGAATGGAGGGCAAAAGAGAGAACATGCCAAGAGGAAGTCACATCAAGCCAACTCTGACCGGGACTGCCTTCTGTCTGGAAACCGATGTCTTCATTGCAGGACAACATGCGGATCAAGAATAGGGCTCCACAGCCACCTACGGACCCACTGCCAAGACATCACATCTGGAAGACAATCATCCTCAAGCTACAAGGGATCGCCTAAGTAAGTAAAGTATATGCTGAGTAACAGATGGGGCTAAATTAAGCAGCAAACTGAGGACTCCTGAATCCATGTTTGCCTGACTGCACTAACTGATGTTGTTGTTATTGTTGTTATGCTTATTTATACCCTGCTTTCTCTCTCTACAAGAGATTCAAAGCAGCTCAAAGTGGTTGATAGTATTGGTGCATAACTGAGGAAATGGATCACCTTCATGCTGACAGTATGACCTTGGGACAGTCACTCCTTCACTTATCCCATTTCGCAAAGATAAATTGAGAGGAGGGAGAAAATTTATATGCAGCCTCAAGAGCCATGAAAAAAAACAGAGAATCTAAATATGAATAAAAATAAATTTATAGTTTTTATATATCTAAAAATTCCTTTGTTACATTTTGAACCAGAGAGTGTTCGTAAACCAAAACTGAAAAGTAACTTGAAATATATTCCTTCAAGCAGGTATTAATAAAGCTAGTCAAGATTCAGCAATCTTCTCGTATCTTGTTAAGCCTTTGATTTTGTTCAAGAGCAGATTATTTAAAAGACACTGATCTTTATGAACTATTTTCCTCCAAGAAAGCAGGAGGTGGGAGGAAGCCACAGTAAGATTCTTGTTCCATCTGAAGAAGAACTTTGGAGTCTATTATGTTACCCATGAACTTGATCTTTTAGCGATGGTGAAAATTCTCTCAAAGCTATAATTTTAAAGTTAAATGATGAGAGGTTTCATTTGCTTTCCAAGCAGAGAGAAAACCTTTTTCAAATAGACTCCTGCTGCCATGACCTTGGTCTCTGACTTCGAGTTCACCACATGCAATAATTTACCTTGCCCCCTGGGACTTGCCGAGAAGTCTCTTCTAAAAAGGTTTTACATTTGAAGGCATCACTGGATCTAAAAATATAATATTCTTTAGACTTTGTAATATCTTTTGAATCTTGAATGCTAATTATTAGAAAGGGTTGCAATAAGGACGTAAATGTGTTAAGACTAAATGAGAAGTACGAGTTCACAAATAGGGATTTCTTTGAGGATCTGTATTTCTCTTTCTTGTGTGGAAAAAGGAATCAATTCTTTGACACATTTTTTTTCTTTTTCTCTCTTTCACACAGACTATGCTTCTATAAGGGGCTTTCATGTCTTGCCCTGCTAACCATATATATCTGTATATAAACTGAAAATTTTGAAACAAAAAAATGAACCTGAAAAAAACTTAAATAAACTTAGCCATGGATTAATATAAAATATAGCATTAACCTAGGTGGGGAAATAGTGATAACTCTGGTACTTTCCCAGTATTTTGTGTGTGTGTGTCCAGAGTGATTTGAAAAACTGCAAGTTGCTTGTTCTGGTGCAAGAGAATTGGCCGTCTGCAAGGACGTTGCCCAGGGGATGCCCAGATGTTTTACTATCCTTGTGGGAGGCTGTTCTCATGTCCCCGCATGGGAAGCTGGAGCTGACAGAGGGAGCTCAACCCGCTCTCCCCTGATTTGAATCTCTGACCTATCAGTCAGCACTCCTGTAGCACAAGGATTTAACCTATTGTGCCACTGGGGTTTCCACTTTCCCATCATGGCGGAGATAGTAGAGGGGGTCAGTGCTTCTTTTAAGTTTAAGCTCTTGTCTTTCACTGCTCTATTAAGAAAAGGAGGTGGTTCCTTTTGATATAAAAATTAAGGGACAGTATTGACTTATCTTGACTCTTATCAAAGGAACCACCCTCATCTCTAAGCAGAAGAGAGAAAGGCAGCAGCATTACTTGGGTTGGTGTCACTCCCATGCTTAATGAGCAAGTTAGTGTTTCCATTTGTAATTTATAATATATAGCATCATATACAAAACTACATTGCATCACATTATGTTACATGAGGCTTCTCTCATGTCCCCGCATGGGGAGCTGGAGCTGACAGAGGGAGCTCATCTGTGCTCTCCCCAAATTAGAACCTCCAACCTGTCGGTCTTCAGTTCTGCCAGCACAAGGGTTTAACCCAGGAGTCCTCAAACTAAGGCCCGAGGGCCGGATACGGCCTTCCAAGGTCATTTACCCGGCCCTCACTCAGGGTCAACCTAAGTCTGAAACTATTTGAAAGCACACAACAACAACAACAATCTTATACCATCAGCCAAAAACAGGCCCACACTTCCCACTGAAATACTAAGAAGTTTATATTTGTTAAAATTGTTCTTCATTTGAATTATTGTATTGTTTTTAAGTTTTTTGCACTACAAATAAGATATGTGCAGTGTGCATAGGAATTCATTCATGTGTTTTGGTTTTTTTTTCAAATTATAATCCGGCCCTCCAACAGTTTGAGGGACTGTGAACTGGCCCTCTGTTTAAAAAGTTTGAGGATCCCTGGTTTAACCCACTGCGCCACTGGGGGCTCAACTACATTCATGATGACAAACCTCAATTATTATTTGTGTTTCACCCATCAACGTTTTGCACAAACCCACTGTTTAGAAAAGCAAAACATAACAAAATAAATTGTCGAAAAACCTCACCTCATTCCCACCAACAGCTTTGGTTAAAATCACGGCTGAAGATACAGGAGGTGGCATACAGCCTACGGTCTGCAAACTATGGGAGAGAGGAAACACACACACACAACTGTAATATTTATTCTAATTAATCACCAAACAATCCACAGAGGAGAACAGACATGATTACAGATTACATTGGGAAGCCATGAATGCACAAATTCTTTATTTAATGACTGGAATACAGGCACACAGAAATGCAGGAGGGCAGCTTTTGAATGCAATTGTACTGATAATAAGCAGTTATATGATCTCAAACAAGGCTGCTACTTCTACCTTATTTTTTTGCCTTCAGGCAGGTACCGTTTCCTGATCTAGAAAATCTTATTAAATGCAGATTTGTTAACATGAATGAAAACACTTAAACGGTATTATTGTATATACTCAAAAGATATACATGGTAATATTTTTCAGCCCCCCCCCCTCTTTATTTGAGCTGAAAATGCCTCCCTCGGCTTATAATGGGGTCAAGACCAGGCAACCGAGCCTAGAGGACATTGCTTGCAAGACATTATATATTTCTCTCTCCTCTTCACCTCCCTTAACAGTGTGTTTTCTTTTCCAGTCAAAAGGGGGAGGGGGAGGAAGTGTATTTAATGTCCTCCTTGTTTGCATGGCTCTTTCAAATCTACCCAATTTCCTGGCTTTTTGTGTGTGTATCTAAGTCCCTTCCACACAGCTGAATAAAATCCCACATTATTTGCCTTGAACTGAAATATATGGCAGTGTGGACTCAGATAACCCAGTTCAAAGCAGATATTGGGTGATTTTCTGTCTTCATATTCTGGGATATTAGGCTGTTTGGAAGGGCCCTAAATAAGTGGTTCTCCACCTATGGGTCCCCAGATGTTCTTGCCTTCAATTCCCAGAAATCCTAACAGCTGATAAACTAGGGTTTCTGGGAATTGTAGGCCAAAACTCCTGGGGACCCAACAGATTGGGAACCACCGCTCTAAATGTATTAATTTTATTTGTGCATTTTTGTTCCCTTGGAAATTTTCCCCTCATGTGTTTCCAGGTCTTTGCACATCCTATATACATAGATATATGGAGACTTCTATGCACCTATATCTATATCTATATGTATACATTATTTTTATATGACTTTTCCTCTCACATATTTGCAAATCTCTGCAAATGCTATATAGATATAGATATATAGATAAATATATAGAGGTACCTATATATCTGTGTATCTGCATGTGTGTGTATGTATATATACTTTTATATATGAATTTTCCCCTTACATGTCTGCAAATCTTTGCAAATCCTATATAGATATAATTCTCTATATAGAGAGAGAAGTCTATTTAGATATATATGAATATAGATATATAGGGCTTGCAAATATTGAAGGAGGGAAATGTCAGGATTTATTGAGATATAATTGTGTGTTTTAAATGTAATTCTTATATTACCAATATGGATGCCACTTAGAGTGTAATGCTATGCTGAAATGTTTATGTTGAGGCTGTGATTGAGTGACCTTAAGATAAGCTCTCTGCTGCTGAGAAAAATTAGGGAGTTAACCACTTGGAGCAGAAAAGCTAAGCAGCCACAAAAGAACTGTTTTGATTTTGCATTTTCCTGTGTTGTTCCTATGTGTCGCTCGCTGAAGATGGATGTACTTTTTGCTCTGTGCTTAGTAAACTGAATTTTCCTTATAACCTGACGTCTTCAGAGTCCATGATTTTACAGAGCTGTATCTGGTGTATCTAGCATTTGCTTCTGTCAAGTTGCGCCTTAGCTTGACAGGAAATGCACATATAGAGAGGATTTACAAATATTTCAGGAGGAAATGCATATGTGAAATTAGGAGATATAATTATAGATCTATATCTAGCTCTGCATTGTTTATATAGGCATTGAATGTTTGCCTGTTACTATGTTGGAAGTTGGCCTGAGTCCCCATGGGGGGGGACAGGGCAGGATACAAATGAAGTTTTTTCAACAATATAATTATTGTTGATACCATATTGTTTTTGCTGACCCTGCTTTTCCATTTCCAGAGCTAGTTTACTGTTTCTCTCTGAAATATAGTAAATATTCAAAAACATTTAACCTAGTGATGCCTCAACTAATGTAATTTTATTGCTATCTATTTTTATTTTGATATTTACTAGTACCTGCGGCATTTTCCAACCCTCAGCTTATACTCGAGTCAATAAGTTTTCCCAGTTTTTTGTGGTAAAATTAGGTGTCTCAGCTTATATTCAAGTTGGCTTTTACTCAAGCAGAGTCTCGCTTATCCAATCTTCACTCATCCAACTTTCTATATTATCCAACGCAGTCCGCCTCCTGCCCGGATCCAAAGCTGTTTCAATACAGTGCGATGTTTTGGTGCTACATTCGTAAATACAGTCATTACTATATAACTTTACAGTGTATTGAACTGCTTTTTCTGTCGATTTGTTGTAAAACATGACGTTTTGGTGCTTAATTTGTAAAATCATAATGTCATTTGACATTTAATAGGCTTTTCCTTAATTCCTCCTTATTATCCAACATTTTCGCTTATCCAACGTTCTGCCGGCTCATTTATGTTGGATAAGCCAGACTCTACTGTACATGGTATATAGATATGAGGTTCTGGACTGGGATTATTGGTAATTCAAACTAGCCACTTTTGCAGTCAAACAAGTATCTGAGCCACTATGGCATATTGGTTTGAGTGTTGGACTATGATTCTGTAGAGCAGTGGTTCTCAACCTGTGGGTCCCCAGATGTTTTGGCCTTCAATTCCCAGAAATCCTAACAGCTAGTAAACTGGCTGGGGATTCCTGGGAGTTGTAGACCAAAACACCTGGGGACCCACAGGTTGAGAACCACTGCTGTAGATCAAGATCTGAATCCTTGCTTGGCAATTAAACCCACTGGGTTATCTTGGAGCAAGTCACATTCTCTCAGCCTCGAAGAAAGATAATGGCAAACTTCTTCGGAGCAATTTTTTCCAAGCAAATACTATGATAGGATTGACTTAGAGAAGGCATGGGCAAACTTCAGCTCTCCAGGTGTTTTGGACTTTAACTCTCACAATTCCTAACAGCCTACCGGCTGTTAGGAATTGTGGGAGTTGAAGTCCAGAACACCTGGAGGGCTGAAGTCTGCTTATGCCTGCCTTAGAGTCATCATAGATTGGAAATGACTTGACAGCACACAACAAATCTATTGAGTACTCAAGTCTAAAGAAAAACCTCAGGACTTGTGGATAAATCAGTTTGCAAGAGCTCACAAACATAATGGTAAGCCATATTTGTGTATCAGTAATCTCTTTTTGAATGAATGAAGATGTGTGAGTGGTTCATAGAACTTATCTAGTGCAAAAAAATTAATAGGAGGGGAAGCCCTCACTATTTTAAAGCTTTGTTTTTCCTCGATAAATTGGAGTCTTATGATATTCAGCAAAAGGCTCTGAAGGCCTCAGCTACAATTCCCTAAACACTTTAACTGTTCAAAGTTTATTAATGTTAATGGAGTGTGTGGCGGTAGATTGCTCTGAGGCATGACCTACTAATCTATTAAATTCAGAAAATGTTTCCAGATCCCTCATTGGTTATGGAAAATAATCCACAGAGTGGTGGCTATAGGAGGATTGCCCTTGTAAATTTTGGCTGGGTCAAGCTTCAATTCATTCCCAAGTAAACAGCCTTGTACGCTTGCTTTGTTGTTGTTATTACATATTTGGGACATTTAAATGCCCTCTACACTAAAAAAAAATTAAACCCTTACACACAGACTACTGGACATAATTCATAATGAGGAAAAGAAGACAGAATATGCATGTTAAAACTGAAGTTCGCCACTGTATCAAGACTGAAATCCAGCTTCCCTGGGCACTTTTAGTTGATATCCTAGCCCACTAAAACCTCCCCTGCTGCACTAACTCACTGCCTTAAATGATATCCATTACAGTTAATCACGAAGTCTGGAAAAACTGTCAATCTCTTGGAACAAGAACAACAAATAGCTGTGCATTGATTGTGAAGTGCATTATTGTATTCTGAAATTTGAGGCTTCTAGGAATATCAAATATGCCCAGATTCTTTGGAATTCATATTCATCCTTTTAAGAAGCATACTCTTCAGACAATAGGGATGACAGAATGCTTTGAGGAAGAAGGAGCCGAGGAAGCAGCGGGAAAATGTATCCCTTTTCAGTTTCAGGAAATTTCTCCCTTTACATCCCAATGGGATATTCCAACTGGAATGACAGTTTTTGCAGATCACTTAAAATCACTTGCAAAGGTCATGCAATACAAAGAGACCTTAATTTGAACCCATAAAGATCTCTTAGCTTTTAAGGTGTTGTAAGCTCCTGTTGGCACAGTAGGTGAAACCACTGAGCTGTCGAACTTGCTGACTGAAAGGTCAGCGGTTCGAATTGGGGAGCGGGGTGAGCTCCTGCTGTTAGCCCCAGCTTCTACCAACCTAACAGTTCAAAAACATGCAAGTGTGGGTAGATCAATAGGTAACGCTTCTGCAGGAAGGTAATGGCGTTCCATGCAGTCATGCCAGCTACATGACCGTGGAGGCATCTACGGACAACACCAGCTCTTCGGCTTAGAAATGGAGATGTGTACCACTCCCCAGAGACAGACATGACTGGACTTAATGTCAAGTGGAAGCCTTTATCTTTACTACAATACCTTATTTTGAAAAGGGGTAGTCATTTTAATTATGCTCCGTGGTGCATCATCTCTTATGATGCACCACGGTGACAATATATTGTGATGCTGTGATCAGAAAGACGGGAATCTATCTAATGTGGATGGAATCCTTCAAAAAGTGAAACCCACAATGCTCACCCCTTCCCTCCTCAGGTGGTAAAAGCTGTCAGAAATGACAGGATGAGAAGGTAAGAGGTGCAATGGATAAAGGTGAATGTTTCCTCTGACATTAAGTCTAGTCATGTCCAATTCTGGGGGTTGGTACTCATATCTATTTCTAAGCCAAAGAGCCAGCATTGTCCGTAGACACCTCCAAGGTCATGTGGCCAGCATGACTGCATGGAGCGCTGTTACCTTCCCGCAGAAGCCAAACATGCCATCCCCAATAATAACAGTGTATAAGGCACGAAAAATGGGAGCGATTTCAATAATGCTATTCAGACTTTGAAATTCCCTCCCTTACCAACCCTGCTTCATATCCCCTTTTCAACAACACTCTGCAAAGGGAAGGAAAATAAAATGTTTCTTTCTTTCAACTGCTTTTGGCCTATCAACTGCCAGAGTTTGATCAAAGTTGTACATTTCCGCTGCTTGTAGACATGCTTGGTACTGTCATGCTGTGTACTCCTTTGGTGTATGATCTTTTTGGTAGAATTGCTAAAATCCTGGGTTTGTATCTTATTTATCTTCTTTCTATAGCTGGCTTGAGCTAGAGAAAGTTCTATATTTAGGAATTTAACTATAAGAAGAGACCACTATTTTAAGTGCTTTGACTGAACGGCTTAAGTACAGTGCTCTCCGATTATGAAACTAGCCACACTATAATTTTCTGTACAGCATGTATAATTTCCATTATAGGCATATAACATTTTTTTAAAATTATGGTATGATATCTATATTCACAGGGAACATGTTTCTGGACTGTCTGTGGATATGTGAAACCACAGATAATAGTGAATACTATTATTTGCAATGGAAAAAAATTAAAGAAGTAAGAAGAGTGAGTAGTGTTAAACATGCAAAAATCAGTTGCTGAGTGTGTTTACTGAAAAATGCAAAACATGAAACTGATCGGTTGGGCCACGCCTGAGAGGCTAGCTGAGCCTGGGAGTTTTGGCAACAGTTACATGTTTAGGGTTTTCTGTGCCAGGAGCTTACCAAGTCACTTTATATTTTTGCTTCTGGCCTGCTGGAAGAAGGTCCTTCACATGGACACCTAAGGACCATTTGAATCACCCTCAGAGGACATTGTGTGAGTCAATGCAACTGTTCACATGACTGTATTTTTGTTGCTCTGCATAACAAAGAGTAAACACTTTGTTCTTTACTGATCATCTGTGTGGCATATCTTTTCTCTAGCAAAACAGTGTGTGGATTGGTAAAGATATGAACTACCCGTGATTTTCATTCCACCACAAGTAGCTTGTATAGGAGGCCCTAAGTGAATACGTAAAACCACTTATATTGGTTTCATGGATATGGGATTTGTTTGTTTGTTACAATACCTTCAAGAACATTAGCTATCAGCTCAGTTTTCCCTTGGTTCACGATCTGAGAATGAAAAACTAATAATTTAAGGACTGAAAAACTAGCATTCCCCAGACTGTGCAGGGTGATGCTTAATATGTTATTTCATGCACAAACGGACTTTTCTCAATCCCATATTCCTTGAAATCTAAAGTAACAAATTCAATTTAGAAAACTTGTCAAAAAGAGGCATGATCTGTTGAATAAGTCCTTGCGTATAAAATTAGCTGCCAAGTTTTTGGATACATGAGACCAAGATTTCAAAAGAATAATCGCGTTCCCAACAGAAAGAGTCAAAACATTAACCTACACAGGGAGGGAAAAAACAAAAAGCTGGCTGTAAATATGTCACACTTTAGTTGTTAAAACATACCCTTTTAAAAGCCATTCATTTATAGGTGTGATAGATAACAGCTGAAGAAATAGCCATATTGCTGTTGGGAAGAATGCGAGTGTGAAGATCTGGACAAAAAGATGCAATTTCACATGCATCAAAGCACTTGTCAGCTCCTGCAAAAGAAAGAGAGGAAGAGGTTGCAATTTTAACAGCTGAAGTCAGTTCCGTTTTGTATTTGTTTCATTTGGTATCATTACTATGCATGTCAGGTGCACATTACTTCAAAAAGACTCCTATTCTGTTCAGCAAATAGCATCTCCATTTCATCTGTTTTGAGGTATGTAAAGAGCCAGAGTAGTGCAGTGGTTTCAGCATTCGACTACGGCTCTGGAAACCAGGGTTCAATTCCTGTCTGGCCATGGAAAACTACTGCCTGATCTTAGGTGAGTCAAATTCTCTCAGCCTCATAAAAGATACGATTGCCTTAGGGCAGTGGTTCATAACCTGTGGGCCATAGACCACCAGTGGGCCACGAGGACGAAAACCTGGTCTACGAGCCTCCTTCCTCTTTATTTATTTATTTTATTTCCGTTCCTTTCGCACCGCCTGCCACACCTTCCCTGTTGCTGACCATAGCGTATGTGATGTATCAGAAACTAGAGCTGATGTGGTCTATCCAATGCAATTTTCTGAATCAGCACCTCAAACCAAATCTAAAGTTGACCAAAACTGATTTGTAACCCTTTTGGTACTAATGTTGGAGAGTGGTCCCTGGTCAAAAAAGGGTTGGGAACCACTGCCATAAAAAATAATGATCACCATATATAAGAAACTAGAGCTGATACAGTTGGAAATGGCTTATTTATTTATTTGTGGTATTTGTATACTGCCCTTCTCAACACCAAATGGGACTCAGGGAGGTTCAGAGGCTTGAATAACAACAAAAAAACGGAACGTTACTGTCTGTTCAAACTAAGTAGGAACCAACGTGGAGAGGAGAACTTCAGATTCTTGGTTGCAATCTTGCCCTCTCCGCATTCCTCAGGTGGCCATTCCTCACATCACATTTGTTAGGGGTTTCTACAGAATTTCTATTTAAATCAAAGCTGAATCCTCTCTCTCTTAATTCTTACTTACTGGCAGAAAATTTCCAAATCCATATTGTGATAAGTTAACCAACTGCAAAAAATCTCAGCGCACTAACTTTCAAAATTAAAGTCTCTTCATCAGGCAAAGATGTTTGAAAGTACTGCCCAACTCCAAATGGGGTCCCATTAGCCCAATTGTTGTCATTACTATTGTTGTTGTCGTTGTTATTTATCCCACTTTATCTCCCTGAGGGGACTGGGGGGGGGGGGGTTCCATCAAAGTGGCAAACATTAAATGCCATAGAAACAGACAAACAACAAACCAATCAATGCAATCAATAAAACAAGAACAATATAAACATCAAAAGAGTAAAACTCAAATGGTAGTATCTCAATGCTGGGGTCACAAAAATTGGCAACAGTAAAAGGTTTCTGGAAGTCACCTGATAGCTGTTTTACAATTTTACACAAATCTGCAGAGTCCATTGTAAACACTGAACAACAGATTTGTGTAAATGTCTAAAACAGCTATTAGGTGACGTTCAGAAACCTTTTATTGTTGCCAAAGCTCTCTTACATAAAAAGGAAAATCAGCCTGTTTAGCAAGCCTTATAAATGCTGATTTGTTATCAATAAATGTTTAGCTTTTAAATCTGTTTTATATACCCATATACCTGCGGTCATATACAAATTTCTTGGGTGAACAGAGGTTGCAAGTGGGAAAAAAATTAAGAAGCCTTCTATATATTTATTTATTTTATATATATATATATATATATATATATATATATATATATATATATATATATATAAAGAAAGCAAAGCATTCTTTAATTACAAACACTAATCACCTATTGCTGGTATTTGATGTGGCTCTATTTGTCACTGCAAAGAGTCACAAAGATCACAATACTTAAGAACCAGATGCTTTCATCTCATAAACACATCAAAAGAATAAAACTCAAATTGTAGTACCTCAGTTTTCAGGGAGAGCCCGCTGTTAAAGAATATTGCTGACACAGCTATGTATGTGATGGTGATTTCTGGTTTCAATGGTCCTAAAAGACAAACAGACATATAAAAGCACGTCAGTAAACTGATATCACATTCAGTTTATTTGAAACCACCACTGCTTCCTTAACGTTTAAAGGAGACATGGAGAATCTGTGGCCATTCAGATGTTGGATTCCAGTTCTCATCCAGGGGTTGATGCATGGTCAATTGTCATAATATCATAGAGCTGAAAGAGACCACAAGGGCCATCCAATACAATCCCCCTGCCATGATCATCATCATCATCATCATCATCATCATCATCATCATCATCATCTTTATTTATATACCGCTCTATCTCCCCTAGGGGACTCAGGGTGGTTTCCATGTAACAAAACACCAAAACATACAGAGTAAGCAAAACACAAGCATAAAATTATCAAAACAACATATCTATATAAATAAAAATGTCATGTTCGTTTGTGGGATTAGCATAACTCAAAAACCACTAGGCAAATAGACATCAAATTTGGACATAACATGCCTATCAGGCCACCACTCATAAAAACACTGGAAAACACAGAAGAAGAGACTTAAAAAGCAACCCCCCTCCCCCAAAAAAATACATTACAATGCATGCGCAAAACCACATGCGTTGCAAACAAACATATATACACATATACACACACAAAACACATATATACACAGCCTGGGCCACAGCAATACGTGGCAGGGGATGGCTAGTATATATTAAAGATCAATCTTACCCTATTATTTCGTACAAAATTACTGTTTGGGTCAGGATTTCAGAATGGGCCTAGGCGAATTAAGAGGGTTGGATCAAGGCTAGTGAAGGCAAGGAATGGAGGGGCCAGGGAAATGGGTAAAGTGCAATAACCGGTCCCAAAAATAGGAATAGTCGGGCCTGTGGCTGCTCAATTCCAGGGCCTATTGGGGAACTGACTGGGGTAATGGGGGTGCAAGGCCAGGTTCTAACAGTGGCCAGGGGCTCAAGCTAGTCCTAGTCATTCTCAAAGGCCTGGTGAAACCACTAAGTCTTCAAGCTCTTACGAAAAGAGGAGAGGGATGGGGTCTGTCTTATTTCCCTTGGGGGAGCATTCTAGAGGCGAGGGGCCACCACCGAGAAGGCCCTCTCTCTCGTCTCCACCAACCGTGCTTGTGATGGTAGTGGGCGTGAGAGAAGGGCCTCCCTGGTAGATCTTAGAGTTCGCGCTGGTTCATAGAAGAAGATGTGATCGTGAAGATAGGCGGGGCCCAAACAGAAACACACAACTGAAGCAATTCCAACAGACAGCCAACAAGCCTCTATTTAAAAGCCTCCAAAGAAGGAGACTCCACAACTCGTTGAGGCAGCATATTCAACAGCTGAAACCACCTGGAAGTTCTCCCTAATGTTTAGGTAGGATCTCCTTTTCTGCAATTTGAATCCACAGCCCCACTGTGTCCTACGCTCTGGAGCAGCAGAAAACAAGCTTGTTCCCTCCTCAGTAGGACATCCTTTCAAATATTTAAACATGGTTATCATGTCCCCTCTTAACCTTCTCTTCTCCAAGTTAAGCATACCCAGCTCCCTAAGCCGTTCCTCATAGGGCTTGGCTTCCAGACCTTTGACCATTTTGGTTGCCCTTTCCTAGGCACATTCCAGCTTGTCAATGTCCTTCTTGAACTGTGACACCTAGAACTGGACACAGTGTTTTGAACAAAGCAGAACTTGGTGCTCAACTGTATCTAGACATCTATAGGTTCCCCTACCCCTGGGCTATGACTTGAAATATTGAATCTGTCCTTTATACACAAACATGGAAATATGAATCCCACTAAAGAGTACCAAAACAAACATACAGAATTGCGAACTGTACTGTCTCTCTCTCTATCCAAAAGGAAAAATATATATTCAAGATCAATAGAAAGGAAAGGAAAAGAAGGTTATTTGAGGAATTTGAAACTAAAGACACACTGAGTTAACAAGATTTAGTGCAGGTATTAGGGAAAATGCTGCTGCAAAGTTGCTAGTATGCTCCCCAAGCCCCTAAGCACTATTTTGTAAAAACAAAATTGGGCAAAATGATCCTAAAACAATTCAAAGCACTGCAAGAATGTTCACCGAGGGAGGGGGGGTGCAGGGGGTGTGTGTGCTGGGACAAAAATGGCCAAACCCTGATTTTTATTATAGGGGTTGTAATATATATTTCAAAAACCTTTAAAGACATACATTAAATATTAATATATACAGTATTAATATATTATGAAAATATAGAATATGAAGGAACTTGTGATCTAGTACCAAAAGCAAAAAAATAAACAATAAGCTGTAATGCCAGATATAAAGGAATGCCCACCTCTGTCACTGACTCTAGGAAATTACTGTAATTTAGATTCAATGTCATTCTAAACTAATTAAACCAGGAAGAACAGAGCCTGTTATATGGACAACCAGTTCAAAGCTGTTCCTATTGATTTTAAACTTCAAATCCAATTCAACTTCAAATCCAAATTCAAAATTAATTATGCAATATCTCACACATAACAAAGGGAGATGGGAGTAAGAATGGAATGGAATTCCTAATCTATTCCTATCTAAATGAATGCTTGGGTAATATATGCAATGGCAGCTAACAGCATGGACACAAAGGGAAGAGCAAATGACAAGAGCTTTCATAACCACTGCAATCTCAAGTCTTTTTTAGCATACATGGCAGCCAGGAGTTAAGCATATCTGTTGACTCAGAGTGCACCCACACTGTGGAATTAATGCAGTTTAAAGCCATTTTAACTGCCATGGCTCAATGTTACAGAATCCTGGGAGTTGTGTCTGGTGAGGCACCAGCACTTTTGGCAACGAAGGTTAAAGACCTTGCAAAACTACAATTTCCATTATTCTGTCACATTGAGCCATGAGAGCTATAACAGAGTCAAATGGCATTATTTCACAGAGTAGATGTAACTTCAGCCATCAGTGATGCTACAACTACTAAGTTGTACCCAGCACATTAATTCAAATGTATTATTGGAAGCACCTTAAATTGGCTTTAAGGTAAAGGTTTCCCCTGACATTAAGTCTAGTCGTGTCCGACTCTAAGGGGTGGTGCTCATCCCCATTTCTAAGCCAAAGAGCCAGCATTGTCCATAGACACCTCCAAGAATCATGTGGCCAGCATGACTGCCTGGAGCACTGTTACCTTCCCGCAGAAGTGGTACCTATTGATCTACTCATGCCTGCATGCTTTTTTAACTGCTAGGTTGGCTGAAGTTGGGGCTAACAGCTGGAGCTCACTCTGCTCCCTGAATTCAAACCGCCAACCTTTCAGTCAGCAAGTTGAGCAGCTCAGCAGTTTAACCCGCTGCACCACCAGGTAAATTGGCTTTACTAACTGGGAAAGCAGGTGCATTTTCTTAGCAACTATTAACTGATTTTTTTGAGTGCTGAAAATATGAAATCTTTAAAGGCTCCTTGGTGCTTCTTGAAAATACGATGCATGATTCACAAAACAAATGGGCAACAGATTTGTTGTACTGAAAGGCCCTGGTTCACAACACACCCAATCTCGCATCACTTTTGTGTCAAGATGGACCAAATTCAATTATCATTGCTGTCTATCTACAACTTTCCTTAAAATTTGTAAGTCAAGCTGTTCCGTTAACTCATTTTAGATGCCAATTAGACATTAAAGTTGTTAACCAAGAATAATAAACTTATTTTTAAGGAAAGGTTTCTGCAAGTGGGGGGGGGGGTCATGGCGGTGCAGTACGTTAATCCGCTAAGCTGCAGAACTCGCTGACTGGCCCCGCCCGGGGAGCGGGCTTGGAAAGAACTCCGTCCTGCTCGTATGCGTCGAGGGATGGGACAGAGTCCAGGCGTACTAGGTGACAGCTTCGGGATGCGCCCCTCAGACATCTTCGCATAGTGGCCTTTGGGGTCGCCGCTTCCGGCCGGGTGGTGGCTGAAAGGCCCTGGTACAACACACCCAATCTCGCATCACTTTTGTGTCAAGATGGACCAAATTCAATTATCATTGCTGTCTATCTACAACTTTCCTTAAAATTTGTAAGTCAAGCTGTTCCGTTAACTCATTTTAGATGCCAATTAGACATTAAAGTTGTTAACCAAGAATAATAAACTTATTTTTAAGGAAAGGTTTCTGCAAGTGGGGGGGGGGGGGTCATGGCGGTGCAGTACGTTAATCCGCTAAGCTGCAGAACTCGCTGACTGGCAGGTCAGCATTTTGAATCTGCAGGACAGGTGAGCTCCTGTTGTTAGCCCCAGCTTCTGCCAACCAAACAACATGCAAATGTGAGTAGATCAATAGGTACCGCTCCGGTGGGAAGGTAACGGGGCTCCATGCAGTCATGCTGGCCACATGACCTTGGAGGTGTCTATGGACATCACTGGCTCTTTGGCTTAGAAATGGAGATGAGCACCCCCACCCCCCACCCCCCCAGAGTTGGACTCAACTAGACTTAATATCAAGGGGAAACCTTTAACTTCTGGAAGTGGATAGCTCCTTTAAGTGTAGGACAAGAAAATTCACATGAATCCCATGGAAGCCACCAGCTAAGCAAAATTGATCCCCAGAATTATAAGTGTACTGAATTCAAACTTAATGATTCACACTTACAGCACTAATGGAGAGGTTGAAATAAGACTTATGGCACTTAGTCACAGACAGATAACTGTTATTTATTCAAACACATTGCATATTACTAGATCTAACCCACAGATTTTCCACTTTAGATATAGTTTGGGTTTCCCAAATCCATACAGACTCATCATACTTTATCACAGCTGGGGAAGTACTTAAAACACAAAGTTGTAGAATACTATTACAGCCACTTTATTCATTTCTTTCAGCCTTGTTGGGGTACATTTGGCTCTTATACAAGTCACACAAGTATATATTTAAACGGTAGGTGGCAAGTCCTACACTAGAACTGTTTCCTCTAAGCTAAGGTCTGCTATAGGACTCATAAAGAAAAAATAAATTATACTTCTTATGTTAGAACCATTTTAAACTCATACTCCAATTTATACAAAACAAAACAAATA